CCCCTGGGGTCTTTCCTACTAGAGTGTACCCCCCCCCCCCGAATTACTTTTAGAACAATCCTACGGAGGCAGGCATTAATAGTCCCATTTCACAGATAAATAAATGAAGATCTAGACTAAGTAAGGCATGTGTATAAGGTCACATAAAAAAGATAAAGCTTTGACTTTATCCTCTGCCGCTTTCTAACACCCCCATCCTCACTCCCACCCCCGTCTACACACATACTCCAGTCCAGGCTTTTCTGTCATAAATCAAGAACATGAAAAGTTGTTTGATGATGGATTAATTTTCTATTTGCTTAGTTAGCTGAGAATGAGTCAAATATACATCAGCATAGCAAGCAAATGGAGGAACAGCCCAACTCTTCATGTCTCCCCAATTCCAGGCAACACAACCCAGGCTGGTCCCTTTGCATCTGCTGAGGGTTGGTGCTGTCAGTCACATTCACATCATTATTGCATATAATGCTAACAGTAGCTGATTGTACTGTGAGCTGGATTGAGTAGAGTGTTAATGAACCCCTATTGAAGACATGAACACTGAATCCCAAGAGGTTGAAGAGACGATATCCAAAGTAACACAATAAAACAAAACAAGAATCCAAAACTCCTGCCTCAGTCAAGAAGGGAATTGCAGAAACAAAGCAACAACAGCAAGAGGAAATTAAAATATGATATCAGAAATAGATTCCTGGAAATGACTGACGTGAAGCCATCACTGGCATACAGCCCTATTGTCCTCTCCCTCTTAGCAAAACCTCCCCACTTCGTATAAGCCACTATTTTGACCAGAAAGAGCTGGCCGAAGACTGAAGCCCTATTCAGTTCCCAATCATGTGAGGTGAAGCTGAATGCCCATTTAGTGAGGAATTCCTGAATCAAATGGGAGGTTGGCCTGGGTGTTCTTTCAACTTCCTCCCCTGATAATCTAGGCATCTCACTTTTCCACCTCTGGGCCTTCATCCATTATAAACACACTGGATGCGCTTTTCCTGCCAAACAGCCCATTCAAATTAGCATGATTCTAAAATATGGTACTGGTGAAACCACTTTTAGGAAGCTTTCTAGGAAAACCTTCGGGCCCTGGTTTTATCATTTTTCATCTAACTTCTAGTACAGTCTCATTTAATACCCTCCATTGAAAATGTTTCCTGATCATTAAAAGCTGAATTTTGATAGCAGCCATTCTTTTGGGGGTGAGGTGGAATGTCAGTGTTGTTTTCATCTGCATCCCTCGAATGACCAGGGGTGTTGAACATTTTTTTCATATATTTGCTGCTTTTACTTCTTTGGCTGAGAATTGTCTGTTCATGTCAGATACCCATTTTTGAACTGGGTCTTTATATTTGGGAGATCTGATTTTTTAAAGTTCTTTATATATTCTAGATTGTAGTCTCTGTCGGAGGACAGCTGGTAAAAAATCTTTTCTCACATTTTTGTGGAATTTGCACCCCTTCCCGTACATATGTTGAACTTCTAACCCCTAGTACATTGGCATGTGAATATATTTGAGTAAAGGTTCTTTAGAGGTTAGATTTATAAGGTTAAAATGAGAACTTAGCATGGGCCCTTGACTAATGACCCTATACAAAGAAGAAATTGGGACCAAAAGGTAGAGTGAAAAATCCCTGGGGAACAATTATCTACCAGCCTAGGAGAGAAGCCTCAAAAGAAATTGACCCTGATGATACCTTGATCTCAGATTTATAGCCTCTGGGAATATAAAATAAATTTCTGTTAAATCATTTAACCTATGCTATTTCCTGTCACTTAAATAGAATTCCAAGATTTTTTTTATATTTTGAAAGCAGTAACAATAAATTACTCACCTTAGTGTCTTCTACAACTGTTATTGGCACATAGAAGATGCCAAATAAAACCTTGGAGTGTCTAATGTGTGTATTTACTCAATAATTTAAGGTACCTATCTGCTAAGCATCAGGACAGATAGGATAGAAAACAAAATCCTTCCTGGAACTTACAATCTGATAGCAGTAAAATAGTTAAAGAGAATAGATATGTAAATAAATAAGATAGATATTATGCTCTAACAGGTAGAAACCCATTTATATGGCATGAGTACTCTGGGATTATATAAAGTGTATCAATCAGGAAATCAGAAACTACCCTAAATTTTTTTCACCCTGGATCTTTTAAACTAAGAGAGTTTAGTACTGAAAGCACATAACACTTGCATAGCAGTGAAAACCAAATAGGAGATGATGAGGCAACCCAGTATTTGGCAATCACAGAAAGCTGCTACCATTCCTATAGATGAGTGGATAATGGGAGAAGGTAATGTTATTTGAACCCAGAAACAGGTGCTGCCATTTTAGATGCTAAAAGCATCGTGATGCAGCCTATTACAGGCAGGCGCAATAAATGGAAGACTTCTTCAACCAAATCTGGAGTCATGAAGGAATAAAACCATCACAGGTGGTGGGGAAAAATACCTTGACTTCTCCCTTTCTTCTGCCTGTTGATCTCTTTTTTTCTTTACTTTTTATTTAGTTTATTGGTACAATCCAGGTATACAATACAGTTACATTCATTACTGGGATCCTGTACCTTCACATGACAGGTCTCGGTTCTAATTTTTTCCCCTTGTCCCTGCCTTCCCTTCACCCCCCCCATTTACAAATGCTTTATTTCAATTTTTTCATTTTCTCATATGTTTTTCTTTTCCTTATGCCCTTTCCCCTACCCTTCCCACTTCCCTACACCTTTAGCCCTTTTCTTCCTATTTCACACTATTAGTTACCCCATTAGGATCTTGTGTACTATTATAGTTTTTCACACCAGAGAACCGATTCAGTATTTACACATGTGTGACTTATTTATTTCACCTAAAAGTATATCCTCAATATGTATCCATTTTCCTATGAATGACTAATTTCTTATTCTTTTTTTTCAGCTTTAATTGAGTTTATTGGTACATTTTAGGGATACAGTACAGTTACATTCATTGTTGGGATCTTGTACCTCTACATGACAAGTCTTGATTCTCATTTTTTCCCCTTACTCCTGCCCTCCCTTCACCCTCTCCTCCCCTCCCCATCTACAAACACATTATTTCCATCTTTTCATTATCTCACATTTTTTTCTTTTCCCTTACTACCCTTCCCCTACCCATCCCACCTTCCCTACACCTTTAGCTCCTTTCTTCACATTTCTAAATGTCTGTAATCTTCTTAGGATCTTATGTATTATTGCAGATTATTAACACCAGAGAAACTATGCGGCATTTACACATGTGTGACTTATTTATTTCACTTACGAGTATATCTTCAACATGTATCCATTTTCCTATGAATGAATCTATTTTCTCATTCTTTATGGCTGAGTAATATTCTATTTTATAGAAAAACCACATCTTCTTTATCCAGTTTCCAACAGATGGGAAAATGCGCTGTTTCCAGGTTTTAGCTATTACAAACTGTGCCGCTATAAACATTGCTGTGTATATATCACTGTGGTATGATTCTTTTCATTCTTTTGGAAAGATACTCAGCAGAGGGATGGCTGGGTCAAATGGAACCTCTAGTCCCAGCTCTTTGAGGCATCTCCATATTGATTTCCACAGTGGTTGCACCAGTCTGCACTCCCACCAACAATGGAGAAGGGTTCCTTTCTCCCCACAACCCCGCCAACATTAGTTATTGTGTGATTTCTTGATAGCAGCCATTCTTTGTGGGGTGAGGTGGAATCTCAGTGTTGTTTTCATCTGCATCTCTTGAATGACCACTGATGTGGAACATTTTTTCATATATTTACTTGCTGCTTTTACTTCTTTGTCTGAGAATTGTCTGTTCATTTCAGATGCCCATTTTTGAATTGGGTCTTTATATTTGGGGGGGTGATTGTTTTGAGTTCTTTATATATTCTGCATAGTAGTCCTTTGTCCGAGGAGCACCTGGTAAAAACTTTTTCCCACATTGTAGGTTGTCTCTTAGCTTTGTTGATGGTTTATTTTGCAGTACAGAAGCTTTCTAATAAGATGAGACCCACTTATTGATTCTTTCTGCTAGTTCCCTTACTACTGAGGATTTGTTCATAAAGTCTTTTCCTACACCAATGTCTTCAGGAGTTCTGCCTAACTTATCTTTCACCAAGTTTAGTGTTTCTATTTTAATATTTAGATCTTTAATCCACTTTGATTTTACTTTAGTGCATGGTGAAAGATGAGGGTCTAGTTTTAATCTTTGGCAGGTCGAGATCCAGTTTTTCAAACACCATTTATTAAAGAGGCTATCTTTCCTCTAGTGGGGATGATCAGCTCTTTTGTCAAACATGAGGTAGCTGAGTACGTCTGGAGTTGTTTTTGTGTTTCCCAGTCTGTTCTACTGATCCTTGGGTCTGTTTCTTTGCCAGTACCATGCTGTTTTTATCACCATGGCTTTGTAGTACAGTTTCAAATTGGGAATTGTTATACCCGCTGCCATGTGTCTGTTACCTAGAATGGCTTTCGCTATTCTAGGTCTCTTATGGTTCCAAATGAATTTTTGGATTCTTCTTTCTAGTTCTGTGAAGTATAGTGTTGGACTTTCAATGGCATTGCATTGAATCCG